TCCACGCCCTCCACCAGCCATGGCCATTCCACGCCCTCCACCAGCCATGGCCATTCCACGCCCTCCACCAGCCATGGCCATTCCACGCCCTCCACCAGCCATGGCCATTCCACGCCCTCCACCAGCCATGGCCATTCCACGCCCTCCACCAGCCATGGCCATTCCACGCCCTCCACCAGCCATGGCCATTCCACGCCCTCCACCAGCCATGGCCATTCCACGCCCTCCACCAGCCATGGCCATTCCACGCCCTCCACCAGCCATGGCCATTCCACACCCTCCTCCAGCCATGGCCACTCCATCCCTTCCTCCAGCCATGGCCACTCCACACCCTCCTCCAGCGATGGCCACTCCACATCCTCCTCCAGCGATGGCCACTAAACACACCCTCCACCAGCCATGGCCACTCCACACCCTCCTCCAGCGATGGCCACTCCACACCCTCCTCCAGCGATGGCCACTCCACACCCTCCTCCAGCGATGGCCACTCCACACCCTCCTCCAGCGATGGCCACTAAACACACCCTCCACCAGCCATGGCCACTCCACACCCTCCTCCAGCGATGGCCACGCCACACCCTCCTCCAGCGATGGCCACTAAACACACCCTCCTCCAGCCATGGCCACTCCACGCCCTCCACCAGCGATGGCCACTCCACACCCTCCTCCAGCGATGGCCATTCCACGCCTTCCTCCAGCGATGGCCACTAAACACACCCTCCTCCAGCCATGGCCACTCCACACCCTCCTCCAGCGATGGCCATTCCACGCCTTCCTCCAGAGATGGCCACTCGTGCACGTGTGATTTATTTGCACCATCCCCGCACTCATCTTAGTGACTCCAGGAACGCGTATTCTACCGGTGGAAGTGTACAGGAAATATTCCCCGAGGAAAGGCTGTGACACCATGTGACCGTATTTCTCATTGGACCCTCATCGGTGTGATTGGCCAGACATGCCGGTTTGATGACCGATAAATCTGAGGAAGATTGCGCAATCACTGGGCCCCTAGACAGAGACGGCCCCAGAGTCTCCATGTGCACAATCCGTGCCATCTTCCATCACTGGGGCGATCGGCAGCCGTGTTCAGTCCTGGAACCGTCCCAACCACTTGGCACCCAATCACTTGGCACCGGGTGGCTCTGTAATCAGATCTGTATAATCGCCTCCTGTGAGGCCGCCAACAATCGTCACCCCTCGGGGAAATAATCCAATTATAGGAAGACGTGTCACTGGGGAAGGAAGGACGCCGGCCAACCGCTATCCCCCTCCTAGCCGGGGCCCTTGTATTTTACTTGTCATGGGAAGACAAATGGAATTGTGTCAGGGGGCCGCACTGGGCAGATAAGGGGGCCGCACTGGGCAGATAAAGGGCCATCATCCGTGTCCATCACACTGATTTGTATGACTGAGGACGGCTTCATCCGTGTCCATCACACTGATCTGTATGACTGAGCCGCCATCATCCGTGTCCATCACACTGATCTGTATGACTGAGCCGCCATCATCCGTGTCCATCACACTGATCTGTATGACTGAGCCGCCATCCTCTCTACGCGTTTCACCGACAAGAGGCTTCCTCAGGACAGAGACGCTCATAATGGTGACTACGCTCCTAGAACATCAACGGATACACAATGACATCATAACACGTGATGTCATACAGAAATCACATGACCCACAGAGATCTGCGGACATCATAACACGTGATAACATACAAAGATCACATGACCCACATGTAAACTACACACAGCTGTCTGGACAGGTGAACATACAAAGCTATGACGTATGTAGGTATCAGTACATGAGCATGGCCAGCATATTGGACCCCCTCATGGGCTCACCCTCCCATAAGGACTGTTGTTGGCCTCCTGGGTCCATTATTCCCATTTATACACATCCCCCATCCCTGGCAGTGCCCAGCATCCACCCCCATCCCCCTCATCCACCGGCCCCGGAGCTCTCATGTCCTCAGCACTGGGCGGACACTTTTACATGTTGCACACTCAGCTTTCTTTCGCGACCAGGCTCTATCCGGAAGTAGGCGGGTGGTATCCATGGAGACGGGAAGCGGCTAGTGGGAGGGACGAGTTGTTATGGCAACGAAGAGACTCTTACATCCCGCCTGACACTGAGGTGAGGTGAGTGTACGAGACCTAACCCCCAC